AACAAATTGTTTCCAAATATGTTCATTTGTGCCAGGCCTCTTCTCACTGTTAGACAATCTAGCACTAAATTCAGCTTCTCTTGCATATTTGTTATAACATCGTACGCACATTTAATTGTTTCAAACTCTTGCCCGACTTTAGGCTTATGTTTCTCCGCAACTTGTGGTGTGAATGTTTGAATTGAAGTCTCGTCTTCCATGGTAAAAAAGATTATATATATATATATATATATAATTTCCACGTTAAATTGATGTATTTGTTAGAACATCTCGATTAACTAAATGCACAAAATTTTATAACCAAACGCCAATCCTGCAAAGCTATGAACATCTTAATAATTTAGTACAATCACAAGCTATATAACATTAGTGAACATGGCTGGGAAAAATGTACCAAGAAAAACCACATACGAGTGCTATATAAAAGAACCCTCTCCAGAGTTTCTACTGCTTTCGTTTTCATGAAGGGACAGTGGATAAATGTCATCCAAACAAACTTAGATATCCGGTTTTCTTATTTCCATCTTGCATTGAATTATACTTTCCGATGGGAAATGAGAGGGAGTTTGAATTTGCACTTCAACGGCCAAATTTGTAAAGATAATACTAGAAATGATTATGATTACTTTAACAAACATTCATAATTGAAATCATGAATGATGGACATGCCTGTATCAAAGAAGGATTATATATCAAAATAAACAAAATAATTGTAGAGTAAGATAAACATAATCTAAAATGCATAGAAGGATGAGTCAATTTTCATAGTAATCAACACAAGTTGAATCAATCTAACCAAACAATGTCTACATTCAAACCTCAGGGATGTCTTCGAAGTAAATTAGATAATCATGTATGTAAGAATATGTTTTTAAGTGGGTCTCTAATTGTAATAGCTGTTGTTAATTTAAATTTTGTTTTAATTAACTATCGTCATTAATAGATTAATTTGAAATATAATTTAATAATTGACGGATAACTATATGTTTTGCTTTGCTCTTATTTAATTATTGAAAGTAATAGATTAATTTATATTTTTATTTAATGATGGATAACTACTGGATAACTATATGTTTTGCTTTGTTTATAGTTAATTATTGAAAGTAATAGATTAATTTATAATTTTATTTAGTGGAATGATAATTACTTAATTAGTTAGTTTTGCTTTGTTTTTATTAATTATTGAAAGTAATAGATTAATTTATAATTTTATTTACGATTTTGCTATGGGTACAACATGATGTCCATTTTGGTGTCCAAAATGGACACCCGACACCTCGGTATTGGCCGAGGTGCCTGCCACGCTAGGGCCCACCGACACCTCGACCAATACCAAGGTGCCGGGTGTCCATTTTGGACACCACAATGGACAACATATTGTACCATCAGCATTATTTTTTTATTTAATGGCAATGCACATAGCCACATACTATACATTTGGCATATTTATGACTACGACTACTTTAAATGCCTCTTTTGAAGAAACCATTAGTAAAACACAAGTATCATTTGGATCATGATTATCATTATTAGGTGTTTTGAATACTCTTGAATAATTTCACCGACCTGAGATTCTATCACCGTGTCCTTTTCAAGATATTTTAAACTTTGAAGCCAATGCATACACGTCATTGTTTCCTCTTTCACGTATGTATGTATGTGCATTTTTGCGTGCTTACATATTAAATTTTGAATTTCACTACATTCACTTTTTTTATTTTTTATTTTTTACTTGTATTATGGTAAAATATTATATAAGTTATAAAAATATAAAATACTCTATAAATAAATAAATATTCATTTATCAATAAATTAATAATCTCTCTAAAATAATAATATTCTCATTCCCAACATTATTATTCTATAGGGGACTTACTGTAGGTGAAATTAAGGTAAATAATATAATTTAATCTATAAAATAGAATTTTTTACAATTACGATAAAAATGATATAACTTCTTAATGGATCACTCAAAAATTCTATTTTTGTAATTATAAAATAAAATTCATAACCTTCTTGGTTATTACATAAAAATCATAACTTTGTTATTTAAAATAATTAATGTATCAATCTACAAAACCAATTAAATAAATATCAAACAAATTAAAATGTAGTTCCATTTTAAAAACTGAACAAAATTACAATCTATAAAATCAAGCAACAAAATATAAAAAAAATTAGAAATTGGTCCAATTGAAAAAGAAAATTATTTTCTATATAATGTTGAAAATTACGTACAAAATAAAATTTAATAATTAAAACCATGTTTAGCTGGTGAATGGGGTTTCAAAAGCAAAAGGATGTGCATTAATTTATTTTTTCGTTCTGTGAGGTCCAAAATAAAAATTCAATTTCAGATTCCAATAAGAATGAGAACTCAATTTTTCATTTCCTTTTTTTGTTTCACTGAAATTCTTGAAATGGAAATTGAAAATGCCATGTTTATTGGTATTTTTTAATATTTTCGATTTAATTTAATTTAATTTAATTCTTTATTTTTTTTCAAAAATATAAATAATTTGACTTTATATCTGTGATTGAAATCCATTGAAATTTGAGTAAACAGGCTAAAAATCTTGAAGAGTTTAGAACATTTCCAAAAAACTCTTTAAATATGAAATAAAACGTTCTCTATTTTAAAGAATCAACTTTTACAATCATGCTCCAAGAGATTCTTTAAATTACTCTTTCCGTTCCAATTATATAAGATAATTTTTCTTATTCCAATCATATAGTCTGGTTTCTTTATTTTGAATATATTATTTTATTCATTTACTAATATACTTCTATTTAATTTATCTAGTTATAACCAATTTTTTTCACTTAATTTTGAAATTCTACAAAAATAAATAACGATAGATTGAGAAAGTTTTTGGTAAAAACTATTTTTCCTATAACATTAAATAAGATTCTTATTCTGTGTAGAAAATAAAATCAGCATATATAAGTAGGATGATGGGAGTAACATTTTAGTTTAGAGAGTGGGTTCACTCTCTAAAATTAAATGTATTCAAAATGTTTCAATTTTCAACGTATTAAAATAATAACATATTCTAAAGAAAGTTAGTTAAAATAGAAAAAAATAATAAATATTTTTTGGGAGTAGTAAAATTAAGTATTAAATATAAAGAGTTTGTTGGAGTATTTCAAAATTTTAATTAAATATAAAGAGTTTGTTGGAGTATTTCAAAATTTTAACTCTCTAAATGTACAGATACTCTCCCAATGATAGAATATGTTATTTAAAACTAGAGAATCGTTTAGAGATGTTCTTGCTATTTCTCTTTATAGGTACGAAATCAACTAAAAATATATTAAAATCATTTCAATAAATGAAATATTTAAAAATCTACAAGTTATTAGGGACATCTAAACTTATAGGGACATTTAAAATTCATTAAAATCTGAATCGAGTACACTCTTGTAAATAACCTCTTACATGATTTAATACTATGCAACCAAGTGACATAAAAAGAAGACTCTACAAATATATCACGACACACATGAAATTTTAGGTTAGGATGAAGTCATACTTCTGTCTTTTAGACTTTCTGTATTTCACATCTTTGAGTGGGTAAATTCTTCTTATTTTTCAATCTATCCGGTGATCACGCATAGCTTCCTCGTAAGCAGCGGCAAATTAAAGTTGGCGGTAGTGGGATTGCCCCACTATGTTTTAAAATTTTAGCCCCATTACCGCAGTAATGCCCTGCAAGTTAAAAATTCAAAAATACTATTTGTACATCAATTTTCACACTCTCTCACAAAGGTGGGATTCACGATTATTTTAATTTTGGACCTCATCCACTTACATGTATGTGTGCTGTGGAAAAAGGTATGAAAAAAGTGTGTGTGTAAAATTTGAGTTCAGCCCTGTAGTCCTATTTTTTCACCCCTCCAACCCTATTTGGTATAGTTAAAACAAGAATTTTAGTAAATTTTAATAAAATTGATGAATTATTTTGGTTGAAAAGTTATGAATTTCATAAAATATATGGTTAAAATTAATTGTTATCTAATTTAAAATTTTAACAAATTTCAATTTACACCAAATCGGGGCCAAAAAAGTAAATAGTACAAAACGTCCCCATGGTTTGCACTCATCATACAAATTGTTTCCATTGTTTCAAATTTGGCAATTGCACATTCACTTCAACATTTTATTGCGAAGTTAGTAATTTCGTCTCCTTCGGTTAATTCATTCTATCAAATATGAGTAATGGTACAAAACGTCCTTATTTTCATATATTATTTCTTTATTTTTTTTATTTTTTTTATATCCAGGTATCCACCTTATAGTGATTAAATCTTGGAGTCTACACCTTTGGCCTTCAAGCTGCAGACAGGTTAAATCGCAGATTGTGCCCAGTGCTCAAGAGCCCCCCAACTGATCTGCCAAAGTGTCAAGCAAGTCGGTTCCCATCTTTGCACCTTATCTTCCAGTAGAGCTCCTGCCTTTCAGGAGAATATCTGCCTTCAAAGCTGGCAGATCTTTATTTTTCTATTTGTTCATATGAAGGGGAGTGTAAATTAATTATTCCACAATGCTTTCATGGAGTAAATAGACGGTAAGAACCATTTGCACAATGAAGAAACAATAGATATGTTTTGCGCAATGAAAACATATGATAGGGACTTTTTACGCCAGTTACCCATATCTGACGGAAGAAATTGATCAAATGAGGCAGAAATGATCAACTTCGTAAGAAAATGTTAAAAAAATAATGTAAGCCTAAATGTCATTGAAAATTGTGAGAATTATTTGTTCAATTATATAAACGCAAAGAACGTGGATAAAGCCCCCTTTACCAGGGCCACCAGGGTCCGAAGGCCACTATTGTTTTTAACTCTGAAAAGTAACAATCGTGCTTCTCTGCCAGGACAGACACAATAATGGGGCTCACGAATTTTATTTATTTATCTTTTAATACACCGACCTGCATCTACAATGAGAAATCTTACAGACCTTGTATGAATAGTGCCATGTACTCGAGGCATTATAGAAAAAGCAATAGCTGCGAATCACGCCGCTCCTTTAAGTCACTATCAGTACGGGAATTTGTTTTAAAAGGAATCACCATTTTCTTATCTGCATTGTTCTTCTTTCTTCTTCTCCTTTGGTTGTGGGTTCGTTGGGTAGAGGTCGGGTTGGATAGGTGGGGTAGGTAATCCTCTGATTCCAGTATGTTATTTATCAATTTTAGTTCATAATCAAAATTATAATCCCATTTTTAAATTTGCATTTTACTGCATGTGACAGATAGGGCTGCTCATTGAAGCTGACAGTTTGCGTGTTCAGTGATGACAATGCAATTAAAAATGGGATTATTTTATTTCTTACTCCAAACGAAAGAGTCCTAGATTTGATTTTTTGGAAGTACTTGTTAACATCTTTACTCCATTTACTGCAAAATTTATTTATTGAATCTTCTGACAGATTCATTACCCAAAAACATTGAAAAATTTTCTCAAGAAAATCTCTACAAAAAATTGCCTTCACTGGAATGTAAATTTGGTCAGCCCAAACATTTGATTTGAATTGATATTGGCTTTTGAATAGCCTTTAGAAAAAAATTAATCTGTCTGCGGTGAACTAGAAAAGGATCGACAAATTTGATGGCTGAGATTGGATCAAAAATCAAGAAGGGTCTGGTGATTTTCATTGGATTGCTTCTTTTTGGTTGTGTGATTGTTTCGGCAAAACAAAGTTCGATATTGGGAAATGGAAGTTTAACAAACAATTGGATTACTGAAGAATTTGGATCAGCTTATTTCAGTAAAATAATCAATTTCTTGCAGCGAAGCAGGCACACACTTTACCATCATGTTTGGCCCGTGAGTTCTTTATTTTCATTATAAATGTGCTCTTATTTTTCCCTGTAGGGCTAGATATTTGAATTATGACGGATTTGGTATGCTCGACTGGAAGTGGAATCGACAATATTAATGAACATACAGTGTTGTATTTTGGATTACTGCATTCTGAACATCCCATAAAAGATTGATAAATTTTTTATTTTATTTTTATTTTTTTACAGAAACTAGAATTTGGTTGGAGAATTGTTGTGGGTACAGTGATTGGATTCTTTGCTGCTGCTCTTGGGAGCGTTGGAGGTGTTGGTGGAGGTGGAATATTTGTCCCAATGCTCACTCTAATAGTAGGATTTGATCCAAAGTCGTCAACTGCAATATCGAAATGTAAGAGTTAACAATTTGTATTGACATCAGATACAACCCACTTTCTTTTACACACACACCAATTCCAACTGATCATTGCATCTAAATAGCCCTCATTAATCTCTGAAGAAGAATCAAATTCAAGTTCTTAAAAAATTGATTCCTATAGAACAGTGCCTAGTCATCGAATTCTCAATCATGCGACTCAACTTTGACGCATTTAGCTTTCCTAGGACCTAGAAATTTGGCATATTTTTATGCAGAGTTCTGAATTAAAACTACCTAGAGGTAGAGGGCATATAGATTCAGATAGTCATTGCTAAGTAGTTCTTGTTGGCTACTTGGCTCAGATTTAGATAACTAAAATGTTCGACCAGGTCTCTGATTTTAATTTCTACCATGGGCTTAGTTTCATGGAATTCAAAAGTCAACAGTATTTGTATTCATTTTCTACTTTAGGGGCGAAGCTTTAGGAAAAGAAACTGATTCATTTGAAGACAAACACTTTTCACAAATTACAGAACTGTATTCTGATCCTTTTGATAATTGGACTGTATTTGAGCCCTTTTGTTTACTGTCCAGGTATGATTACCGGTGCAGCAGGTGCTGCTGTATATTACAATATCAAGCTCCGGCATCCTACACTTGATCTTCCTATCATCGATTATGATCTAGCTCTTCTTTTTCAGCCAATGCTAGTGCTCGGGGTCAGCGTTGGAGTTATTTTTAACGTGATTTTTGCAGACTGGATGGTTACAGTTTTGTTGATTATTCTTTTCATAGGTGATGTCCAATTTACTTACATTTTTCAGTTGCATTTTTTAGGTAACTTATCATTGTCTTAACTACAGGCATGTCAACTAAGGCATTCTTTAAGGGTGTTGAAACATGGAAGAAAGAATCCATTATGAAAAGGGTAGCCTAAAATCTAAACATTTTCACTTGTTCCAATATGCTAGTTGATCTTTTGATTTAAAAAATCTATTCTTTCTGTCTCTTAATTCGGTATGCAGGAGGCTTCTAGACGCTTGTCATCTGATTGTGAGTATGCACTACTTTTCAATCTTGAGAAATATTTTGTAAAAAATTTTAGTTAGCCAGATTCGAGTAAAGACCGAATTGAAATCAGATAATAGAAGTGAAGTGCAATACAAACTTGTACCTGGAGTCCCAACTAATGGAACTGGAGTACGTCTCAATGATTATAAAGCATCGGAGGTAACTATCTTCTAATACCTGAATAGCATGTTAGGTAGGGAGGATTGTACCACTCTTGAAAAACATTAAGAAAGAGAAGAAGTTAATATCTTGTTCGTTATACCATTGAGTCTTGTCCTCTACTATGTACCAGACATGCACAAACAGTTACAGATTCGTGAATTAATTTCCAAACCGACGCTGATTTCCACAAGTCTTGCAGGTCTCGGTTATTGACAATGTCTATTGGAAGGAACTCACCATACTCATTGCCGTCTGGGCCATAATCCTTTTACTTCATATCGGCAAGGTTTTCATATATTATACTCTTGAAAATCCTCTCTTAAGGCCTTTTTTTCCACTTCAAGTTTTTACTCTTTTATGAGTTATTATTGAGAAGACTAGCGCATCTTTAATACAGGATTATACAACAACTTGTTCAGTAGCATATTGGACTCTGACCTTGTTGCAGGTACTACTTATGCCGAACTGTGAAAAAATATATCCAAGCCCTGGATCACTACCCTACATTTTTATTTTTTTTTGTCTTAGAGCAAGATAAACATATATAACGACATTTATATTTCTGTTGATTCTCAGATCCCTGTAGCAATTGGAGCATCTGGTTATGAGGCAGTTGGTTTATATAAGGGTTGGAGGGTTATAGCTTCAAGGGGAGAAGCACGAAAAAATTGGACAGTGCAACAGTTGATTCTCTGTTGTTGCAGTGGAATTTTGGCTGGTGTGGTTGGTGGGCTGCTAGGCCTTGGTGGAGGATTCATATTAGGGCCATTATTTCTAGAGCTTGGAGTTCCTCCACAGGTACTTTGTAATCGTCTTGAATCAATGTTGGCATGTTTTGTGTGGATGATTAAATGCCACTGCACAATATTAATGAAGAATATAAGTCTTAAGATTATTTATGTACCAAACATGCACATTGATTTGTTACAGTTTGTAACTTCTCTGGTGATCGAGTAAATGATAAAAGAAACAGTGATCATGAATTTCACAAGAGAGAGAAAAAAAATAAAAAAAAAATGTCTCCCAATGGATCGTTAACTGGTATACTCATGCCCATTCCCTCCATAACCCGAATGCTCAGAGCAGCCTTCTCAACTCCTTACAAGTTCATTTTTCTAGTTTACCCTGAAATATTCCCTCCAGTGTTTAGCTGCTTATGAAATAACATTAGACATACTTGCATGTTCTAAAATTCTTGTCCTAAAACTTGTAATTAACCATCTCCTGCCCCGTTACAATAGTTCACAATCTTTAGTTAAAAACTTCTGATGCAGGTCTCAAGTGCCACAGCCACATTTGCCATGGTATTTTCTTCATCCATGTCTGTAGTACAATACTATCTTTTGAAACGCTTTCCAGTATCATACGGTAAGTTATCCAGCCAACTTCTATTCAACATATGGTTAGTTGTTGTGCATACTTCTTGATTTGAAAAGTAAAAGATTGTTATTTCATTAGGCATATATTAGATCATTGCTCAACTAACTGTTTCTCTCACTTGCAGCTCTTTATTTTGTTGCTGTGGCTACCGTTGCTGCATTGGTAGGGCAGCACGTAGTAAGAAAGATGATTAGTATATTCAGACGAGCATCCTTAATCATCTTTATTTTGGCATTCACCATTTTTGCAAGTGCAATTTCACTAGGCAAGTATTGTTGAACTCTACATCAATAATTTCCTGCACGTTTTCAAGATTTAAATGAGACATTCTATGTCATCTTGTTAAATTTTTTTCACCTCGCTTTGTTAAAAAATTGTTGTTGCATCATTCTTGACAGGTGGGGTTGGTATATCGCACATTATCGGGATGGTGGATGGAAAAGAAAACATTTGGTTTTATAACATCTGTGAATAAGAGCCGTAGGGTTTGAAGCATTTGTGTATGTACAATTTTCTTTAGTAACAACTATACTTATTCTTCTTTCAATGATGTAAATGTGTAATAATCCCAAGAATTGAGATGTTACCTTATAATCTGATATGGAAGATCACATTTTCTCTATTCAAGGGTTGCTTCCAATATCTAATAGGACACAAAGCTCACAAGTTGGGTCAGGATTAACCAGGTAAATAATAAAAGATTCATATAGTTGACGCAAAATTCTAGAGCCCCCGCTTATAATTGCTTTTTCTTGGCAACCAAACAGAGCACTTGATCTCACATGCAATTTGAAAGCAATTCTTCTTTGAAATTCATGAAGATTGTGAAAAGGGGAAGCGTTTAGTGGTTAGTGGTAAAAGCTTTGAATCGTCAATGACAAACTTTCATTGGTAGGAAGTATTTGTTGAGTCACCTCCTCTAGATTAATATATACTTATTTATTCAAATTGTGACATGCTCCTCTCATGCTTATTAGATTTATTTTATTATAATTCTCAAGGGTAATCATGCACCTTATCATCACTATAAATGCTAGCAAGGTCTTTCAAGCTGCACTTTGTACCCATTAGGCAAAAGGAGAACCAACGAAGAATTTATAATGTCTCATTAAAACAGTTACTTTATTCGATTTGTCATTCACAAGGTAGAAAGAGATCGTTGGATAATCTCAATTTATACAATTTTGTTTCTTCTTATTTAGTTTACTATTTGCGAAGTCTATTAGACATAATCTGTTATTAGCGATCGACAATGCTACAAATTACAATGTAACCTAGGTTTAATGTTAATAATGATGATTTTTGGTTGTAATTGTATGTGATTGAAATCCTTTAAGTGGACGCTAGTCACACTAATATTAATTTTGTTGTAGTATACGAGGTGAAGTTAATTTTTGAGTGTTTTTAAACAGTCTTTAGAAAGACGGATAAAGGGAAGATAATAAGCTTGATGAAATAATGTTTACATCTTTTCTTTTGAATTTTTATTTGTTGTTTAATAGTTTCTTTTAGACGTATCCAAATGTATCGTTTCTATTATTCTTAAAGGTGTTTTGTTGTGAGATTATCAATCGTACATTTGAGTTTATGATGGTTTTATAATATGAAGTGTTGAGCTTTTTTCCTTCCCTTTTATGTGATTATGTATATGATAGATACACATGTAGATTCAACTTATTATTGTTCTTATTAAACTCTCTTGAAGCCGTTTACTCATTTTGTTAACAAACGTATTGTCACTTGGTAATTATCTATTTTCTATGAAAAAAATGTAATTGTTTATTTTTATCTTTTTCATCTACTTATAAGTAATTTTTTTATTATACACAGTGTTAACGTAGATTCCACTCAACTGAATGAAGGTGGATTTGTGAGTTATATGGTAATGGAAAATCTTTGCTTAACAAGTTTAATATCCCATAAGTAGGCTCACAGTAGGAAAAGGAGCTCAAAATGGGAATGAGTGAGGTAATAGCCATCCATGTTCTTTGGGTTAATTCATTCACTAGTTTATAAAAAGTGAAAATTACACATTCTAATAGATTAAAAATTCCAATTTCATAAATAAGATACCATGTTTAGTATTTCACAAATCAATTTTTTTTAATTAATTAATATATTTAAAAATTAATTAAATAAAACAATTTCAAACCCATTTCACAATCTCTCTCTCTCTCTCTCTCTCTCACACACACACCCCTCATTTCCCCTACCCCGATTCTCTCTCTCACCTCTCTCTTCGTCGCAACTATGCTGTCACCCGATGCTAGGCTCCCAACGCCTCTGGCCATCAACATAGTCGATCTGCAGTCACTGAAGGGGAAGGAGGACTGTGGTTGTTCGCACCTCGTCTATGCTCGCAAGAGGTGGCATTGCCGCTGTTCAAGGCGCACGGTGACGTCATCGACGTTTGTAGCTCAGAGCACCGCTCGTGCGGCCGGTGGAGATTGATTGTGTGGTTTGTGGTGTTTCTTTTTCTGATGAGTTTGTGGTGGTTTTGCGATTGATGGTTTTGAGTTTGGTGTGTGGTGGATCGGCGGTGGTGATTACAGTGGTGGTGATTTTGCGTTGATGTGGTGGTTACAGGTGAGTTAGTTTTATTGGTGATGGTGTTGGTGGATCTCATGTTGCTAGTGGTGGTAGTCTTCGTGGTGGTGGTACATGTAGTGGTAGTAGGTGGAATGGTGCTCGTGGATCTCATGCTACAGGTGGTGATGAATAAGGCAGTGGTGCAAAGGTGACTGTGGTGGTTTGGTTGATTTTGTGACAAATAATTGAAACCATGACTTGAAAATTGTAACTCACAATTTAAGAGTCACAGTTGGTCGTGGCGGTGGTCGTGACGGTTTGGTTGATTTGTGACTCACAATTGGATACGTAACCTGAAAATTATGACCGTGAATCGTAAGTGTTGGTGGTGGTCACAAATTATTTGGTTGATTGTGTATTAAATTAGTTAATCTGTGATCAATGAAAAAGATAAACTGTGATCGAAAAATAATGTGTGACCTAAAAAATTGTTAATCTATGATCGTTAATTCGATAATTTGTGACTGTATAATAAGTTGTGACTTGTTGTAGTTTGTGACCAATAAATAAATCATGACTAATAAATTTTTCGATTTGTGATTGATGAACAAACTGTGACATATAAAATTTTTGAACTTTGATCGTAAAATAATTTGTGACATAAAATTTTTGATTTGTGATAAAAAAAAATAATAAGAGATGAATTAAATCGTTAATTTGTGATCAAATTAAATAAATCAGTGACTTAAATATATTTAATTACTCAAATAATTAATTAATTAAATTATAAATAATTTTTAATAAAAATTTGAAACTTGTTTTCTTGTTTTTGAATGTGTCATAATTAATTTCTTAATTATGAAATTTTTCCTTATAAAAAAGACTCTATTAATGATGTAGGATATAAGGGGTATATTGAAAAAATAGTACTAGTAGAAATAAATCATCTTGATTTCGGATCGATCCCATAAGACCATTTTGAAAGGAGAACGATGAGGGAAACAATACTCACCGCTATGTCGTGACGTACGGTGAATTTCGATTGTTCGAGTCCATTTAGGCCTCGAAAACTGATTTTCAAAGTTTTAGTGCTATTTTTGTCAGTTTGTTTATTTTCGTTTTTTTTACAATTCTAATTTGATTAAACTTCTTTTTCATTACTTTTAGTTGTTCTAAACTTTGTTTCCATGTAAACCCTTATAAATAAGGGCTTAACTCGTTTTTTTATTATCTTTTCATTAATAAATTCGTGAGTTTATTTTTTTTATTATTTGATGGATTCCAAATTGCTTGTTCTTAAAGTTTTCCCTTGAATTCCTTTCTTTCATGCGTAAGTGGTATCAGAGCCGGCTTTCCCGTCTCTATATCTTTGATTCATAAACATGGGGTGATGTACAAGTTAATAGGGCAGATTTAGATGCAACAAACCGACGGATTGATGATCTCACTACTCAGATAGAAGAAATTCGTCAATTGCTTCTACGAGGTGTTGAAAACAATGGGCAAAATGAACAATGGGCAATCAATAATGAGCGAGTGGCTGAGCCTGTAGTTCGTAGAGAAAATAATAGAAGGCGTGTAGTAGAAGACAATGAATTAGAGTCGGAGGAGGAGATCAAAGTACTGCCGCATCATCCTAATCGTCAAAATAGAGCATCATCCTAATCATCAAAATCGAAATACCTTTGATGATTATCGGATCAAAGAAGACATTCCTCCGTTCTTTGGAAACATGAAGATCAAGGACTTCTTGGATTGGTTGGTAAAGGTTGAGAGATTCATTGAAATTATGGATGTTTCAGAGGACAAGATGGTGGCATACTGTTTGAAATCTGTGGCAGCAGTATGGTGGGATCAACTGCAGAATGCTCGAAGGAGACAGGGAAAGAGTCGAATTCGAACTTGGAGAAAGATGAAGCAGTCTTTGATGGATCGATTTTTACCTACAGATTATGACCATATTTTATGTCGAATGTACTTGGGATGCACACAAGGGAATTGTATAGTGTTGGACTACACCAATGAATTTATGCGATTGGCAGAACAGAATAATTTGTTAGAATCTGAAAATCAAAAGGTAGTGAGGTATACCAGTGGTTTGAAGGTGGCCATTCAAGATAGAATTGGGATGCAGAATATGTGGACGTTGCAGGAAGCCATTAGCATGGCGATGAAAGCGGAGATGATGGAATCTGATAAGAGAATGGTTTCATACAGGAGGCCCTTACCTGCCGAATCATCATCATCCACCCCTTTAGACAAAGGAAAGGCCCCACAATAAGCCCCAGTCAATCCTAATAGGAGTAAAGTTGACAACAATGGTCAGTTTAGGAACAGAAGTCAGACTCGGGGAGTACCTCATAATGCAAATCCGTACGCTAAGCCTATAGGAGAAATTTGCTATAGATGTCAAAAGCCTGGGCATTGTTTCAATAACTGTCCTAAGAGAAAGCAGGTCAATTTGGTAGAATCGGAGGCAGTAGATGAGGAGGAAGATACTGAAGTGGAGAATGAGTACGCGGGAGTAGAGTTTATTGTGTAGGAAGGAGTAGAAAGCTCACTTTGGTACTGCAACGAATCCTTTTATCACCTAAGGAGGAGGGACAATTTCATTACATCTTTTCTTCACTTTGTTCTATTAAGAATAAGGTGTGTGAAGTGATTGTGGATAATGAAAGTTGTGAAAATTTTGTGTCGAAGAAGTTGGTGAAATTGTTGAAACTACTAGTTGAAAGCCATCATAAAACGTATTCACTTGATTGGGTAAACAGAGGTCCTTCTGTTCAAGTTGCTGAAACTTACAAAGTACCTATTTCCATTGGTAAGCATTATAATGATGAAGTTATGTGTGATGCCATAGACATGGATGCTTGCCATATCGTATGAGGTCGTCCATGGCAGTTTGATGTGGATTCAACTCTCAAAGGACGTGATAATATAGTACTCTTTTCATGGGGCAGTAATAAGATCGCTATGGTTCCTCTCAAACCGGCGGAGAAGTCTACACATCAATGAACTGAGAGTTTCCTTGCACTTACAAATGATGAGAAGGAGATTATGGAGTTTGTAAGAGAATCTGATTGCTTCTATCCAATTGAAGTTAAATGGCTTTTTACAACAAATAAAGAAGATGAGATTGTTCCTCCTGAGGTGCAAAAAATATTGACAGAATTTGAAGATTTGGCTTTCGACGAATTGCCGAATGAGTTACCTCCTATGAGGAATATTCAACACCAGATTGATTTGGTACTTGGAGTTAGCTTTCCAAATTTGCCTCATTACCGAATGAGTCAGAAAGAGAATGAGATTCTAAGGAAGCAAATTGAGGAGCTGTTGAAGAAAGGGTTCATAAGAGAGAATATGAGTTTGTGTGCAGTACCTGTCCTTCTAGTGCCAAAGAAGGATGGAAAGTGGCATATGTGTGTTGACAATCGTGCCATCAATAAGATAACAGTAAAGTACAGGTTTCCCATTCCACGGTTGGAGGATATGCTAGATATGCTTGGGGGTTACAAGGTATTCTCGAAAATAGATCTCCGAAGTGGTTATCACCAGATCCGTATTAAGCTAGGGGATGAATAGAAGACCGCATTCAAGAGTAAGGACAGACTTTATGAATGGTTGGTGATGCCATTCAGACTTTCAAATGCCCCAAGTACTTTCACGAGGATGATGAACTAGATTCTCTGTCCTTTTATTGGGTCTTTTGTTGTGGTGTATTTCGATGATATCCTTATTTACAGCAAGTCTAAGATGGATCACCTAGCTCACTTGAGGCAAGTCCTAGAGGTTTTGAAGGAAAATCAGTTGTACATCAACTTGAAGAAGTGCACATTCTGTACATCTAAGCTATTGTTTTTAGGCTTTGTGGTAGGAGAAGATGGTCTGCATGTAGATGAAGATAAGACATAAGCAATTCGAGATTGGCCAACACCAAAGTCAGTTTCTGAAGTAAGGAGTTTTCATGGGTTAGCAACTTTCTATAAACGATTCATCAGGCATTTTAGTACTATCATGGCGTCTCTCATAGAATGTTTGAAGAAAGGAAAATGCAGTTGGGGAGAGGAACAAGATAAGAGCTTCGCCTTCATCAAAGAAAAGTTGTGCACAACTCCAGTATTAGTTTTGCCAAGCTTCGAGAAGATCTTTGAGGTGGAGTGTGACGCTAGTGGTATTAGTATTGGGGCTATTCTTTCTCAAGAGAAGAGACCCGTGACTTTCTTTTCAGAAAAGTTAAGTGATGTCAGGCAGAAGTGGAGTACCTATGAGCAAAAATTCTATGCAGTTGTTAGGGCTTTAAAGCAATGGGAACACTATCTGGTACAGAATGAGTTTGTATTGTTCACTAATCACCAAGCCTTAAAATTCATTCATAGTCATAAACACATCAGCAGGATGCATGCTCGGTGGGTAACTTTTCTTCAGAAACTTCCTTTTGTAATTAAGCATAAATTTGGGAGTACCAATAGAGTTGCAGATGCACTGAGTTGGAGAGCTTCCTTATTGATCACATTATCATAGGAAATTATTGGGTTTGAGTGCTTGAAAGATCTGTATGCAGATGATCCTGACTTTAAGGAGATTTGGAATAAGTGTGTGAATTGGGAATCAGTGGTGGATTTCTATATTAGTGAAGGGTATCTATTCAAAGGCAACCAACTTTGTATTCCTGTTTCATCTCTACATGAAAAATTGATTCGAGATCTACATGGTGGAGGTCTAAATGTACACTTAGGGCGTGACAAGACAATAGCCAGTTTGGAGGCTAGGTATTATTGGCCACAGTTGAAGTGGGATGTCGGAATTATAGTCAGAAAGTGTTATACTTGTCAGGTGTCAAAGGGTCAAGTACGAAATATTGGGTTGTACATGCCACTTCCAGTCCCTCAGGGCATATGGCAAAATCTAGGTATGGACTTTGTTTTGGGATTACCTCGTACTCAACGGGGGATAGATTCTATTTTTGTGGCGGTTGACAGGTTTTCCGAAATGGCGCACTTCATAGCTTTTCGGAAGATTTCAGATGCGTCACATATTGCCAAACTATCTTTTAGGGAGATTGTTAGATTACATGGAGTTCCGAAGTCTATCACATCAGAACGGGATACAAAATTTTTGGGGCACTTTTGGATTATCTTATGGAAGTTTTTAGGAACCAATTTGAATCGAAGCAGCACTGCCCATCGTCAAACTGATGGACAGACTGAGGCTACTAATCGTACTCTTGGAAACATGGTTCAAAGTGTTTGTGGAGATAAACCTAAACAGTGGGATCTTGCACTACCTCAAGTGGAGTTCGCGTACAACAGTGCAGTTCATACTACTACAGGCAAGTCTCCGTTTGCTATTGTATATACAGAGGTGCCTTACCATGTGGTGGATTTGATGACATTGCCTAAATGTGATAATAAAAGTGTTGCTGTTGAACATCTGGCAAAGGAAGTGATAGCAGTTCGTGATGAGGTAAAACAGAAGTTAGAGAGAACTAATGCAAAGTATAAGGCAGCAGCAAATTCACGTAGACGGAATAAACAATTTCAGGAAGGGGACTTCGTGATGATTTTTTTGAGAAAAGAGAGATTTCCCACTAGTATTTACAATAAGCTGAAACTGAGAAAGTACGGGCCTTTCAAAGTGTTTAAACGGATTAACAACAATGCCTACATTATTGATTTGCCAAAGTCTATGTGTATTTCTCGTACATTCAATGTGACTGATTTGTATGAGTTTCATAAAGATAATAAGCTTTTGTATCTAGATTATAACTCGCGGTCAAGTTCTTTGGAGGTGGAAGAGACTGATGTAGGATATAAGAGGTATATTGAAAAAAGAGTACTAGTAGAAATAAATCATCTTGATTCCGGATGGTCCCATAAGACCATTTTGGAAGGAGAACGATGAGGGGAACAATACTCACCACTATGCTGTGACGTACGTTGAATTTCGGCCGTTCAAGTCCGTTTAGGCCTCAAAAACTGATTTTCAAAGTTTTAGCGCTATATTTGTCAATTCGTTTATTTTCGTTTTTTTTACAATTCTAGTTTGATTAAACTTCTTTTCCATTACTTTTAGTTGTTCTAAACTACGTTTCCATGTAAATCCTTATAAATAAGGGCTTAGCTCTTTTTTTTATTATTTTTTCATTAATAAATTCGTGAGTTTATTTTCTTTATTATTTGGTGGATTCCAAATTGCTTGTTCTTAAGGTTTTCGCTTGAATTCCTTCTTTCGTTATGTCAATTAGTGAGCTTGTCTGAGCCCATGAGGGGATGATCGATGCCACTCCACAAGAAGTTAAAACTGTACATAAACATGATAAAAACAATATGGATAAAATTTAGAGCATGAGCATCAGAATGAGATGATTTGAATGTATAAATAGACAATAGAAAGTAAGTGATAAGTGAAATATTACGCCAAGTGAAATATCATATCAACTATACATCACGTCCCTACAAGATAGCCCATACCATGATAAAAGCCCGCATGAGAGATGGCATAAGATATCGAGGACTTGGTCCGTTATCGACTGATATCACTAGGGTCGAGGCCTCCTAATATGCCAAAAAGTTGTAGCTTGATAGTTGATTTGAAAGCTTCAAAAGGACACTCCGTTTTCTTACAATACGAGGAAATTTTTTTATACAAATTCACGCTCGCATTTACAAATTGATAGATTTTTCCTGACATGGGAAGCAAATTTGAAGTGAAATTCATTTTAAAACTTGGATATTTTATTCCCGGAAATCCCCACCAACGTCGTTATCTGCGTGTAGATGATGTGTAAGGGATTCCCAACTCATAATAACGTTAAAAAAAGGTCCATAAAGTCAGGAGCAAAGGGACACAAAACTTGGGCCATGTGCCACCACCGGAATACACATCAAATAGCTTCTCTACATTTGGATGTCCCCTATTTATTATATATTGTCTATTACTCTGCAAATCTGAAACACACTTACAGGCTCCCAAGAATTGAGCAAGAAAAACTAATATATTGTCTGAAGACAAAGAAAAATGTTAGAAGGGAAGGGTTTGATAGATGATACAGATATGCCAGTGAAGATGCAGATCCAAGCAATGGCTTTTGCTTCTCAAGCTCTAGATCTCTATGATGTTTTTGACTGCAAATGCATTGCTGCCCACATCAAGAAGGTGATAATAGAACATCTCATCGTGCTTAAAAGTAAAATTTTTTTTCTTTTAATACAAAATAAGCAACTTATAAGCTAGAAATTTACGTTCTGGATCTTGTGTACAAGTTTGATGAGATTAGCTATGATTGGCAGGAGTTCGACAAGAGATATGGGAATGGATGGCACTGTGTGGTAGGGTCCAACTTTGGGTGTTTTTTCACACACAGCAAAGGGACTTTCATATATTTTACATTGGAGACTCTAAATTTTCTCATCTTCAAAGTTTCTTCGTCTCCATCAACTCCACCTCCGTAGCAGCCTTTCATAGTTCGTTATGGATCGAACACAACTAAATAGACTGAATCGTACAATAGATTTACTTTAGCTTATCTTTCTTCCTTCGTGTCTTCTAGTCCATCTTACCAAGCATGCCTATTTTTTACCAAGCATGCCTATTATTAGAAATTTCTAGTTGTAGATTACTGTAATATTTGACTTTAGAGGCAGCTTTCACAATGCTTTCTATGCAGTGTTATATTGCAGAAATAGAACGTGTTTGGTTCCTCTAATTGAAAATAAATTATATGAAATGGCACCAAAAGAATCAATCTACAGTGTAACGCACATGATTGCAATTTCTACCAAGCTTCCAAAGAAATTGAACAATATTGTTGTTTCTAAATAAATAGGCGTGCAAAGTTGAAGCACCAAAGAATCTTCGGTCCAAAACTTGCTAGAAAGCTAGTTCAAAATGAACAAAATCTACTCAAATCACTGGAGTTAGTAGAGGTTTGTGTAGAAAATGAGCCTCCAAGTTTGCAATGACTAGGTCAGCCATGGCTTTGCTAGTTTCAAAAGTGTCACTTCCAACATGAGGCAAAAGAACAACATTTTCAAGTCCAAGAAAAGGTTCAGGTACCTCAGGCTCGTTTTCAAACACATCAAGTCCAGCTCCAGCTATCCGTCCTTCAAGTAATGCAGACACAAGTTCGGGTTCATCAACGTGTGCACCTCGTCCAATATTGATGAGAACTCCTTTGGGTCCTAAAGCATCTATGACCTTTCGATTCACAATGTGATGGGTTTCTTCTGTCAAAGAGCATGACACAATGAGGATTTCACAGTTGGCAGCTAAATTGATGATGTTGGAGTAGTATCTGTAATTTGTAGTTGGTTTCTTCGTTCTGGAGTGGTAACTGATGGTGCAGCCGAAGGCTTCGGCTCTCTTGGCTATTGCTGAACCAATCCTACCCAATCCAACTATGCCAACTGCTTTACCACTGAACTGAAAAAGAAAGTAGCAAATAAGAAAATCTAAATAGGAATATCAGGGAAAATTCAAGAAAACGAAAAGACGAGGTGATGATTCAAGTGAGCAGCCCTAACACTGTTACGAGCCTGAAAACGTTGGTTAAATTACTCAAAGGTGAGACTTTAAGTGCACGGTTAAAACTGGTACACGATATATGGTACAACAGGGAAATACAATGAACCCAATGTTAGCTTCATTTTCTTTCTTAAAAGCAGAATTTGACAACCATATTTTGTGAAATAACGCTCTTCTTGATGGTTTAAAATGGTGACACATTATTCTAATGCCTCAACATGGAACAGAAATTCTACAATTCTCTAACTTTTGTAGTCGAACCCAAAATTCCACTTCCTTCGAAAGCCTAATTTTTTTCATTGCACGGAATTCTACTACAGCATATCATCGAACACATTGAGCACAATTTTACGGAATTATGAACAAACAAGGAGAACTATATCTGCCTTCAAAGTCCTAGAAAATATGCATAAAATTATCACATGGCATCAGAAATCCCAATTCACGAACCTTAGTAGTCAACTCAAAATCGCCATTTTTCCAGGACCCATTTCTTACAAACCCATCACAAGCACAAATCTTCCTCAAAGTCGCCAATATCAATCCAATGGCTGTATCAGCAACATCTTCTGTTAGCACATCAGGCGTGTTTGTAACTCTGATCCCTCTTTTTTCACATTTATTCAAATCAATCTTGTCCACTCCGACACTGTAACTCGCCACGATTTTCAAATGCGGTAGTGCATCAATCAGGTCGGAGTCGGCATTAAATGAAGCGTTGCCCACCACTGCGAGAATTGAATCAGATTTTTGTTCCAAAAACTGGGTTTCGGAATGCGATTCCCAAAATCTGAAGAGTGTGAAGCGCTTTTCGAGTTCTTCTTCGAGATAGGTTAACATGGGACAAGTCATTAGCACGCCCACGTCCTCCATTTTTTTCTGCAGTAAATAACATCCCAAGTTTGACAAGTATATATTGAGCTTCAAAGTGACCATTATCTTCTAATGATTTAAAAAGTGTAAAATGTCAAAGGGTCGAACGAATTCGACTCCGGTTGAATCGAGAACGTTTTCAATTTTAGGTGAGTTTTAAATTCTCGACTAGTCTATATTCGAATCAGTTCTTTTATTGATTTTTTATTTTTTCAAACATATCGATCAGCCTTAATTTTGATGGTAAGGTGTTTTTCAACTCAATCGTATGATAATATCTTAATACATTCTTTACTAATTTTATTGATTTCGTCCATATTAATAACTAATTTGCAATATCTTCTCCTTCATAAGAACATGCTTGAGTGAATTAGCAATGATTCAAAGAACTTCCGTCTCCTAATCCATCATCATTGAACGACAAAAGCAGCTGAAGTCATTAGTCTTTATACCATGGCAACAACATTGTCGTGCTTTTCTGTAATCACTCAGACTTAGGCTACCTCCAACCCAGCACCAAATTTTGCACCAAATCTTGCACCAAATTAAAATTCATCTCCAACCATTACACCAAAAATTACACCAAATGAACAGTATTTAACCATTTTCTTCCCTTTTTTTATTCTTTATAATCTACTTATTTGAAATATTATTTATTTAATTATTTCAGAAATACATAAATTACTAAATAAATAATTAATTAATCTTATTTGATGTATTTTAAATTATTTTCGTCTTTTAATTAATTAATTAATTATTATGTCTTACATTTAAAATTTATTTTAAACACAAATAATTATTAATATTAATAATAATAATAATAATTTATTGTATTAAAAAATATATAGCACAAATTACATAAATACCTTCAACAAATTTATTTGGGAAATGTAAAATAAGGGCAAAATTGACATTTTACACTTGCACCATTTTGCACTAAATTTTGCACCAAATCTTGCACCAAACTAAAATTCATCTCCAACCATTACACCAAAAATTACACCACACTATTCACTTTGCACCATTTTGCACCAAAATGGTGCAAAGTTTGGTGTTGGGTTGGAGCAATTTTGCACCAAAAAAAATGGTGCAATGGTGTTGTGGTTGGAGATGGCCTTAGCTTCTGTGTTCAAATCGTTCTATTTGGAAAAAACTCTGTGCCTAAAACGAACAGCACGAATAATAAAACGACTAGATAACAAAAACCCAAATCGTTACAATTTGAACGCAATCAAAAAAGGGGAGTCAATAGAGAATTGTTCGAAAAATGCGCCTCGAGGTTATCCACAATAAGGTCAGCCATGGCCTTACGAGTTTCCATCGTGCAAGTTCCCACATGAGGGGAAAGAACTACATTATCCAGGCGGCGGAGAATCTCGGGCACTTCGGGCTCGTGCTCAAGTACATCAAGCCCAGCACCTCTCAGCCGGCCTTCAACAAGTGCTGATATGAGTTCAGGTTCGTCAATGTGACCCCCTCTTCCGATGTTGACGATAACTCCATCTGTACCCAACGCGTTTATGACATCGCGGTTGACAATGTGGCGAGTTTCGTCTGTTAATGCACAGGCCACAATAAGGATTTGAGAGTTGGAAGCCAAGTCGAGTACGGATGGATAGTAAGTGTATTTCGATTTTGACTTTTGCGAGCGTGAATGATAGCTGATTGAACAGCCGAAAGCTTCAGCTCTCTTGGCAATTGCAGATCCAATCCTCCCCAAACCTATTATACCAATTGATTTGCCGCTCAACTGCAAGAAAGTTGGATAAATTATATTGCATCAATTTACGATAAGAAAAAACTACAAAGACAAAACAAACCTTGTGGGTCAACTCAAAATCGCCATTTTTCCATAACCCACTCCTCACAAATCGGTCCGCCGCACAAATCCTTCTCAGTGTCGCCAAAGTAAGCAAAATCACCAAATCCGCCACCTCCTCCGTCACAACATCTGGCGTGTAGGTGACACGTATGCCCTTGTGTTTGCACTTAGGTAAATCAATTTTGTCCAACCCGGAGCCGTGATTTGCTATGATTTCTAGATTTGGGAGCGAGTTGATTAGTTCCGAGTTAGCACCGTGGATTCCATTTCCTACCACTGCGAGAATAGATTTTGAATTTTGATTGAAAAATTCGAGCTTGGAATTTGGGGGAATTTGCCAGAATTTGAAAAGGGTGAATCGTTTGGAGAGCTGTTCTTGGAGGTAATTTGACATTGGGCAAGTTAACAACACGCCTATGCTTTCCATTGTCGATCCGATCGGAGGAATTTCAGTTCATCATTCACGGAAGGATTCCTTGATTTTTCCAGTGCATATTCTAACGGAACATTCATCCTTTAACTTTGCGAAAGTAAGTACTTAAATATTAATTTTTTTTTATGTTCTTAACTTTCAGTTACCGTGCAAGTTAATCCCCACTCAATGAAAACTATTAGTTTAGCCCCAGTAGTTTTCTCAACCCACATTCATTTTCTTCATGAACAATGGGAACTATAAAAAGGATAAGAAATAAAGTTTATTACGAAGCATTTTTTACAATAAGTCAACTCTTTTTAGGAGGGTGATAATAAGTCGAGCTGAGCTAGCCACCTAGACTCAACAAACCAGCCAAACCTAGTAAGTGAGTTGAGCTTGAGTTATTGTCTATTGACCAAATCTTCGAACACATCGAGGCCCTGGGCATCGCATGTGATGAGTCAAGTAGGGTTGAGCCATGAGATTTTCAATTTTTTCAAATCATATCTTCAATTCAACTGAACTCATGTGCTTTTAAATTAACAATCTTCTTACGTGGATACCCAAATTTACATAATTAAATAGGTTGAAGACTTAAAACTTCAGAGACTGGGTAACCCATAACCACACTAAGTGAAAAGTTGGGGTGCCCAATCCTAATTTATTCTCGTTCTTTTATAGGCTATATAGAAACCAATTCTATGCGCAGCTTCAGGATATGGCTATGGCGGTCGCACAAGTTTCAAGGATTTACAATCTCCAGCATCCTCTTCCAGCTTTGCCAAGATTTGCCCCACATCAAACTACTCTCCCCACGATGCCGTCCAGGAATCTCTCTCTTGTTAGAGCTTCGAAGCCGGGAAGAGAAAACACAAATGAGCCCGATTCTGCGACCTTCATTTCTTCGGTAAGCCACACACTTTAACAAGCAATGGTTAATGAAAAAATAAATTGTGGATAATCATTAATCCTTGTGTTTTGATTGGATAGGCGGACTTGAATTACTTAGTGAAATTAGGAGCTGGTTCTCTTGCTGGTGCAGCTGCAATTAAATATGGAAGTATCATACTCCCAGAAATAACACAGCCCAACATTGTGCAGGCACTGATTATGATAACTACTCCAGTTATTGTAGCTGTCGTCCTTCTGATCAAGCAAAGCCGTGTAGATTGAACAAGTTTTTATTTGACATTTGCCCTGGAAGTGAACACAAGATGAACTTCGTCCAGCTTCTATTTGGAGATCGAGGAAGATATGCCCATCCCATGATTTTGAACTATGTTTTCGACAATGATACATAAAGAAACAGTGAATTTCGTGAGTAAAATGTTGTAATAATGCGTTGTTCAGAGTCCTTGGGTTTATGAATAAACACATTGTTAAGGGCTTTTCTACGGTTTCTTATTTTTGCTGGACTTTATACTTTATCGAGCACTGAATGCAATCTGCAGCCTCTAGGGAAAAAAATTTACTTGTGAAATAAGAGCATTCAATAAAAGAAGAAATAAACAGCAAAACACAAACTAATTCTTAGAAGTTCTGAATGAGAATAAAAGTGATCTTGAATTGTTGCAATAAAAAAATTACACCATTTAATGACAAAATCAAACCACGGGAATTAACAGTGGTTTGTTCGTAAAATGAGCCTTCAAATTCCCAATGACAAGGTCGGATATGTCCTTGCGCGTTTCTATCGTGCCACTTCCCACACGAGGCAACAAGACTACATTATCGAGGTCAAATAACTGCTGAGGCACCTCGGGTTCCTTTTCAAACACATCGAGTCTAGCACCATCCAGACGGCCCTCCACAAGAGCCGATTCCAATTCTGGTTCATCAACATGTGCCCCTTCTAATGTTGATGATAATTCCCTTCAAACCCAATGCATCAATTACATAACGGTTCACAATATGATGAATTTCAGGAGTTAGTGCACAAGCCATGACCAGGATGTCATAGTTCGAAGCCAAGTCGATGACGCTTGCATAGTACTTGTAATTTGTGTATGGTTTCCCCGATCTTGAGTGGTACTGGTAACTGATGAGGCAAACAAAGGCTTATGCTCTCTTAGCAATTGCCAAGCCAATCCTTCCCAATCCAATAAATCCGACTGTTTTACCACTGAACTGCAAAAGAAGCTAGAAAAGTTGAAGTCAGGTGTCGAATTAAATTTTGCAGACGAACAAAATATATATATATATATATA